TCTATCCCGTTGTTATTATAGATCCATGGTTTATCCACAATACTGCTGTCAGTATGTTGTGGACAGAGTTATTATCATAGATCCATGTGTGGGACAGGGTTATTATTATAGATCCATGTGTGGGACAGAGTTATTATTATAGATCCATGTGTGGGACAGAGTTATTATCATAGATCCATGTGTGGGACAGAGTTATTATCATAGATCCATGTGTGGGACAGAGTTATTATCATAGATCCATGTGTGGAACAGAGTTATTATCATAGATCCATGTGTGGGACAGAGTTATTATCATAGATCCATGTGTGGGACAGAGTTATTATCATAGATCCATGTGTGGGACAGAGTTATTATCATAGATCCATGTGTGGGACAGAGTTATTATCATAGATCCATGTGTGGGACAGAGTTATTATCATAGATCCATGTGTGGGACAGAGTTATTATCATAGATCCATGTGTGGGACAGAGTTATTATCATAGATCCATGTGTGGGACAGAGTTATTATCATAGATCCATGTGTGGGACAGAGTTATTATCATAGATCCATGTGTGGGACAGAGTTATTATTATAGATCCATGTGTGGGACAGAGTTATTATTATAGATCCATGTGTGGGACAGAGTTATTATTCATAGATCCATGTGTGGGACAGAGTTATTATCATAGATCCATGTGTGGGACAGAGTTATTATTATAGATCCATGTGTGGGACAGAGTTATTATTATAGATCCATGTGTGGGACAGAGTTATTATCATAGATCCATGTGTGGGACAGAGTTATTATTATAGATCCATGTGTGGGACAGGGTTATTATTATAGATCCATGTGTGGGACAGAGTTATTATCATAGATCCATGTGTGGGACAGAGTTATTATTATAGATCCATGTGTGGGACAGAGTTATTATTATAGATCCATGTGTGGGACAGAGTTATTATTATAGATCCATGTGTGGGACAGAGTTATTATCATAGATCCATGTGTGGGACAGAGTTATTATTATAGATCCATGTGTGGGACAGAGTTATTATCATAGATCCATGTGTGGGACAGTTATTATCCATCTGATTGGTCAGAGCGGAGATAGAGCCCTTCTGTGCACGTGAGAGCCTGGAACTGGTTTGACGACTTTGAGCCGCTCCCAGCTCACACGCACTTTAGATATGAGGAAGAAGAGAAGACGGCCACACAGTTTTGGAACTTATTTCTGAAAAGAGAGAGAGAGACCAGAGAGAGAGCGGAGATAGAGCCCTTCTGTGCACGTGAGAGCCACACACGTGTATTTGGAGCAAAGCATCATGGGAGCTCGTCCACTGCGCAGAACCGGGAGGACCAGACGATGCCCAAATATGGGCGAGTTCCGCTAATCTCTCGGTCCCCGTGCATGTCCCATGAACTACTGAGCACAAGCCATTAGTTTGAATAGGACGCCATCTTGGATCGCCGGGCTCGCTGCTACTACACAGTAGACTGAGGGAGAAGTGGCTTTAGTCTGAGCTCTGACACACTGTTGGAGACACATCTCTGAGCTGTGAGGGCAGTGCTTCTATCGCAGCAGTCTCCCATCACATCACTGACCAGGCCCTGACCTGCTTAGCCTCAAACACACGAGTTACAGTCAGACTTACCGCTGATCGTCCTCCTTTTTAAAGTTGATCCCTCGTTTATTGGAGCGTTCACTGCTCAATGACGCCGCCCTGCTGGTGGTGGGAGGACTGTGCTCTCTCTGGTCCATGCTCAGTCTCTCTGTCGCCGCCCTGCTGGTGGTGGGAGGACTGTGCTCTCTCTGGTCCATGCTCAGTCTCTCTGTCGCCGCCCTGCTGGTGGTGGGAGGACTGTGCTCTGTCTGAGGGTCAGTCCAGACTCCTAGACAATGACATGAGTGTTTATTTCTCTGGTCTAACTCTTTTGGTCTCCTTCTAGTCCCTCTTCAGTCTCTCTCTCTGGTCCCTCTCTCTAATCTCTCTCTGGTCCCACTTTGTCCAAACTCTTTGGTCTCTCTCTGGTCTCTCTCTGGCCTAACTCTTCAGTCTCTCTCTGGTCTAACTCTTCAGTCTCTCTCTGGTCCCTCTCTGCTCTCTCTCTGGTCTCTCTCTGGCCTAACTCTTCTCTTTCTCTCTGGTCTCTCTCTGGGTCTCTATGTGGTCTTTCTCTGGTCTCTCTCTGGTCTCTCTCTCTACTCTCTCTCAGGTCTCTCTCTGGTCTCTCTCTGCTCTCTCTCTGCGCTCTCTGGTCTCTCTCTGGTCTCTCTCTGGTCTCTCTCTGGTCTCTCTCAGGTCTCTCTCTGGTCTCTCTCTCTGGTCTCTCTCTGGTCTCTCTCTGGTCTCTCTCTGCTCTCTCTCTGGTCTCTCTCTGGTCTCTGTCTGTTCTCTCTCTGGTCTCTATCTGGTCTCTATCTGGTCTCTCTGTCTGGTCTCTCTCTCTGGTCTCTCTCTGGTCTCTCTCTGGTCTCTCTCTGGTCTCTCTCTGGTCTCTCTCTGCTCTCTCTCTGGTCTCTCTCTGGCCTCTCTCTGGCCTCTCTCTGGTCTTTCTCTGGTCTCTCTATTTTTTACTTTTTTTATTGTGAAAAAATAGACAATACAAGTGCAGACGTACGGACAAATACTACAAGACAGACAACAGCGTGGATATTTACAAGGGGGTGTGTGTGTGTGTCCATGCATGTGTGTGTGTGCATGTGTGCGTGCATGTGTGTGCCTGCGTGTGTGTGCATGTGTGTGCGTGCGTGTGTGTCTGCAGGTGCGTGTGAGTGCATATGTGTGTTTGTGTGTGTGTGCGTGCGTGTACGTGCGTGTGAGTGTGCATGTGTGTGTGTGTGTGTACGTGCATGTGCATGCGTGCATGTGTGTGTGTGTGTGCGTGTGCGTGTGTGCGTGTTCGTGTGTGTGTGCCTGTGTGCGTGTATGCGTGTTTGTGTGTGTGCATGTGTGTTTGTGCGTGTTCGTGCATGTTCGTGCATGTGTGTGTGTGTGTGTGTGTGTGTGTGTGTGCATGGTGCAAGCTCCTATTGTAACATATTTGAGCACCCACCCATCACCCTCTTTGCCCTGTGTTCTTCTTATTGGTGTCCCAGTTTGTGATTGGATGAGGTGAGTTGGATATGAATGGTCTTGTTGACAGAGGAAATACTGATGAACACCAAGATGATCATAATTATAAATACAGAGTAAAACTACTTCCTGGAGTTGTTTTTTTTCTCTGGTCTATCTCTGGTCTCTCTTTGGTCTCTCTCTGGTCTCTCTCTGGTCTCTCTCTGGTCTCTCTCTCTGGTCTCTCTCTGGTCTCTCTCTGGTCTCTCTCTGGTCTCTCTCTGGTCTCTCTCTGGTCTCTCTCTCTGGTCTCTCTCTCTGGTCTCTCTCTCTGGTCTCTCTCTCTGGTCTCTCTCTGGTCTCTTTCTGGTCTCTCTCTGGTCTCTCTCTCTAGTCTCTCTCTGGCCTCTCTCTGGCCTCTCTCTGGTCTCTCTCTGGTCTCTCTCTCTGGTCTCTCTCTGGTCTCTCTCTGGTCTCTCTCTCTGGTCTCTCTCTGGTCTCTCTGGTCTCTCTCTGGTCTCTCTCTGGTCTCTCTGGTCTCTCTCTGGTCTCTCTCTGGTCTCTGGTCTCTCTCTGGTCTCGGACTCACCTCTAAATGAAGCAGGACACCTCCCTCACAGTTGTATCCACAGGACTTAGGCCTCACTTTGATGAAAATCCTGTCGTCAGAAAGTTGCAGCGAAAGGGGCTTCAAACATGATACAACTCTGGTCTCTCTCTGGTCTCTCTCTGGTCTCTCTCTCTCTCTTCCTCATATCAAAAGTGTGTGTGAGCTGGGAGCGGTTCAAAGGCGTCAAACCAGTTCCAGGAAGAGTTTTAGTTCCAACCAAGCCCCGTGATCCAAGATGGCGTCCTGTTCAAATCAGTGGCTTGTGCTCAGTAGTTCATGCATGGATCTATAATAATAACTGGATAGAGTATTACTAGCTTACAGCTGTCCCACCCATGGCCACAGGGGGCGCTGTGGAACTGCAGACTGAATTCACGAGGACTACCCAGAAAAAAGTCCCATAGAACTCAATGTAAATTAAAACAGCACGACCTCAGCTGACAGAGAACCTGACAGAGAACCTGACAGAGAACCTGACAGAAAACCTGACAGAGAACCTACAGAGAACCTACAGAGAACCTGACAGAGAACCTACAAAGAACCTACAGAGAACCTGACAGAGAACCTGACAGAGAACCTACAAAGAACCTACAGAGAACCTGACAGAGAACCTGACAGAGAACCTGACAGAGAACCTGACAGAGAACCTGACAGAGAACCTGACAGAGAACCTACAGAGAACCTGACAGAGAACCTGACAGAGAACCTACAGCTTTCATAAAGATCGGATTCTGTGGGGATTTTAGTGTCCCTTGTCGTTCTGAACTGTTTTTCTTCTTAAATCCTTCGGTTTTCTTTAAATCCACACTTTACTGCCACAAACTCTGCTCCTTTCCTTCTCGCTCTGACTCCGCCCTGCTGCTGTTCTGATGATCAGCTCTGATTGGTCAGAGCGCGGCCGAGCCCCTCTGTGCACGTGCATGAGAGACACACACGCACGTTTGGAGCAAAGCATCATGGGAGATTTTCCACTGCACAGAACCGGGAGGACCAGACGATGCCCAAATATGGGCGAGTTCTGCTAATCTCCCGGTCTCCATGAAGTCCCATGAACCACTGAGCACAAGCCATTCATTTGAACAGGACGCCATCTTGGATCACCGGGGCTTGGGTGCATGGGACACACACAGGGACCGAGACATTAGAGGAACTCGCCCATATTTGGGCATCGACTGGTCTTCCTGGTTCTGTGCAGCGGACGAGCTCCCATGATGCTTTGTGTTATGGGTCCGGTCTAGGGGGCAGACCCGCACAGAAGAATACTCCTGAATAAACAGGACAAACTAAAGAGACGACAGCCGTCAGTTCAGTGCAGCCTCGCTTCATGTTATAAAACGGACCAAAGACGCTCCAAGATGGGCCCTGGTGGAAAGTCCCACTACTGCTCACGACACCGCCCCCTGGTGGAAAGTCCCACTACTGCTCACGACACCGCCCCCTGGTGGAAAGTCCCACTACTGCTCACGACACCGCCCCCTGGTGGAAAGTCCCACTACTGCTCACGACACTGCCCCCTGGTGGAAAGTCCCACTACTGCTCACGACACCGCCCCCTGGTGGAAAGTCCCACTACTGCTCACGACACCGCCCCCTGGTGGAAAGTCCCACTACTGCTCACGAAATCCGCCCCCTGGTGGAAAGTCCCACTACTGCTCACGACACCGCCCCCTGGTGGAAAGTCCCACTACTGCTCACGACACCGCCCCCTGGTGGAAAGTCCCACTACTGCTCACGACACCGCCCCCTGGTGGAAAGTCCCACTACTGCTCACGACACCGCCCCCTGGTGGAAAGTCCCACTACTGCTCACGACACCGCCCCCTGGTGGAAAGTCCCACTACTGCTCACGACACCGCCCCCTGGTGGCGCACCTGCAAATGTGACAGTCACTTCTAAACAAACAAAAACACATTACTACACTGATAAAGGAGCTACTTTTAAGTTCAAATAAAGAATATCTTCAACTAAAACACCAGAAAATGTGACTGCACATTTTGTGTGTCTCTCATGCACGTGCACAGAGGGGCTCGGCCGCGCTCCGACCAATCAGAGGGCAGCGTTCTGACCAAAAAACGAGCAGAGTTTGTGGCAGTAAAGTGTGGATTTAAAGAAAACCGAAGGATTTAAGAAGAAAAAAGTTCAGGACGACAAGACACACTAAAATCCCCACGACCTACGACCTTTATGAAAGCTGTAGGTTCTCTGTCAGGTCCTCTGTCCGGTCCTCTGTCAGGTTCTCTGTCAGGTTCTCTGTCAGGTTCTCTGTCCGGTCCTCTGTCAGGTTCTCTGTCAGGTCCTCTGTCAGGTTCTCTGTCAGGTTCTCTGTCCGGTCCTCTGTCAGGTCCTCTGTCAGGTTCTCTGTCAGGTTCTCTGTCCGGTCCTCTGTCAGGTTCTCTGTCAGGTCCTCTGTCAGGTCCTCTGTCAGGTCCTCTGTCAGGTCCTCTGTCAGGTCCTCTGTCAGGTCCTCTGTCAGGTTCTCTGTCAGGTCCTCTGTCAGGTTCTCTGTAGGTTCTCTGTCAGGTTCTCTGTCAGGTCCTCTGCCAGGCTCTCTGTCAGGTCCTCTGTCAGGTTCTCTGTAGGTTCTCTGTCAGGTTCTCTGTCAGGTCCTCTGTCAGGTTCTCTGTCAGGTTCTCTGTCAGGTTCTCTGTCAGGTTCTTTGTCTGGTCCTCTGTCAGGTTCTCTGTCAGGTTCTCTGTCAGGTCTTCTGTCAGGTTCTCTGTAGGTTCTCTGTCAGGTTCTCTGTCAGGTTCTCTGTCAGGTTCTCTGTCAGGTCCTCTGTCAGGTCCTCTGTCAGGTCCTCTGTCAGGTCCTCTGTCAGGTTCTCTGTCAGGTCCTCTGTCAGGTCCTCGGTCAGGATCTCTGTCAGGTTCTCTGTCAGGTTCTCTGTCAGCTGAGGTGGAGCTGTTTTAGTTTACATTGAGTTCTATGGACCATTTTTCTGGGTAGTCCACGTGAATAAGGTCTGCAGTACAACAGCGCCCCCTGTGGCCGTGGGTGGGACAGCTGTAAGCGAGTAATACTCTATCCAGATATTATTCTAGATCCATGGCTCCACCCATTTCCTCAGGTGAGTCCAGTTTGAATGTGAAGATTTAAGGAACTGGGTGGAGTCTTGTGTTGTGAAGGTTGGAGCTAAAACCTGCAGCCACTGGGCCTTTCTGGAACCGCTTTGACAGCCCTGTCTTAAAGGGACAGTAGCACGTATCCTTAGTCAAAACAACATAAGCAGACATAACAAACATACTTATCCCATGGGTTGGAAATTTGGGCTAATAATTATAAAAGTTCTCTCCATGCCGTGCTGTATGAAATATTCACATGGTTTGGTATTTGGATCACACAAATGTACTTTTTTAAAAGACTACAAGCTTTTTGACTTAGTTGAATTTCATACAGCACAACTCCTGCACAAAGAAAGTAAATATATGTTGTGGGCAAATGTCCAAAGACTCTGTGCAGAAAGAGACGGAGGTTACAGTCTGAGGGGATTTGGAAAACTCAAAGGTTTCTAGGACCATGAGGAGAAAAATGTTTGTTTCTGTTTGTGGAGTTAAAGTTTGGAATGGACTTGGACAACAGCTCAAGCAACATCCATTCAAAACTAAATACAGAGAATTTGTGTTATCAAAATATAGAATGAAATAAATAAACTGACCCTAATAAGAATCTGTCTATTTATTATGACATTTTGAATTAACTAATGCTTTATTTATTTTCTGATCAAACTGAATGCACTTTGTGCTATAATCATGTAGTTCTGAATTCAGTTTCCACATTCTTGTAATGGATTAAGAGTGTTGTGTAAATGTATGTTTATATAAAATATCACAACTGCTTCTGTATCAGAGGAGGTGGGAGTACATACGTTTACTTCTTCTCACTCCCTTTTCCAGCTTTGTAAAACGTTTTTGACATATGTTATGTATTATTACTAACATGTATTTCTGTTTAATGTAAATACATGTAACAATGCATGAACATGTTTAAATGACATTGTAAAAATGTAAGCTTGAATAAATCAAATCAAATCAAAAATCAAATCTCTCTCTCTGGTCTCTCTGGTCTCTCTCTGGTCTCTGGTCTCTCAATGGTCTCTCTCTCTGGTCTCTGGTCTGTCTCTGGTCTCTTTCTGGTCTCTCGCTGGTCTCTCTCTGGTCTCTCTCTGGTCTCGGACTCACCTCTAAATGAAGCAGGACACCTCCCTCACAGTTGTATCCACAGGACTTAGGCCTCACTTTGATGAAAATCCTGTCGTCAGAAAGTTGCAGCGAAAAGAGGCTTCAAACATGATACAACTCTGGTCTCTCTCTGGTCTCTCTCTGGTCTCTCTCTGGTCACTCTGGTCTCTCTCTGGTCTCTCTCTGGTCTCTCTCTGGTCTCTCTCTCTCTCTTCCTCATATCAAAAGTGTGTGTGAGCTGGGAGCGGTTCAAAGGCGTCAAACCAGTTCCTGGAAGAGTTTTAGTTCAGACCAAGCCCCGTGATCCAAGATGGCGTCCTGTTCAAACCAGTGGCTTGTGCTCAGTAGTTCATGCATGGATCTATAATAATAACTGGATAGAGTATTACTAGCTTACAGCTGTCCCACCCATGGCCACAGGGGGCGCTGTGGTACTGCAGACTAAATTCACGAGGGCTACCCAGAAAAAGTCCCATAGTATGTAAATTACAACTGCTCGACCTCAGCTGACAGAGAACCTGACAGAGAACCTGACAGAGAACCTGACAGAGAACCTACAGAGAACCTGACAGAGAACCCGGAAATAAGCAATGAAAACACCGAAAACTTTGTTAAAGACTTCATGAAAAGTTAAAAATAGCCCCGGAAACACTACGCAACATTACTTTTCATCGGGTTCACCGCTTTGGAAAAAGCTCAAGCAATACACGCCCCATCGTAGCAAAGTTCGAACACTTTCAGGACAAACTACTGGAGAAAAGTATAGGAAGAGCCAAAAGGAACACACTTTGGACTTAACGACCAATTCCCAAAGTAAATAAACGGAGGAAAGTGTTATACCCTATCATGAAAGAGTACAGACTCAAGAACGTGCGAACATCACTGAACGTAGACAAACTTTACATCAATAATCAACTCTTCAGGGACAGTAAAATTACCCCATGGCTCTTTTGATCATTACCACCGCAATGCAATATGTTAAAATCTGAAACTGCTCTACCTCTGCTGCGCTACACCCCATTCATGTACTTGCTAGCTTATATGTATATATGTGGCAAAGCTCTTAAAGTAATGGCACTCTGTATGTTATCTCTTGCATCATGTCTTGTATTATGTCCTGTACTGTGTCTTGAATTGTGTGTTTGCGCCCCTCCTCCCCCACCCACATCCCCTATCACGATTTACTACAGAGCCAGATATGTAAACTACCCTCAAAAATAACATGCAATCGCTTAAAATAATATCTTGGAATGTACGTGGCTTTCGTACTCTATCTAAAAGAACAAAAACACTCTCTCATCTATCCAAACTAAAGGCTGATCAATGCTTCTTACAACAAACTCACATAACCCAACAAGAATCAGAGCAACTACAACTTGGACAATATGAGATAATCATTCAGCAACCTACAATAGCAAGCAGCGAGGAGTTACGACTATCGTTAAAGGTATATCCCAGTAATAAAAAATACAGTGAAGGACGATATCTAATTCTACACATAACAATCCATAATATAACTTACACATTAGCTAATATATACGGCCCTAACAATGACCACCCAACTTTCTTCCATAATATTCTTGCAGCACTACAAGATCAATCAAATATCATCCTCGCTGGAGACTTCAACACTGTACTTAACTCAATACTGGACCGCTCAAGCTCACCTGGTAACCCGAAACACACACACTCATCTGAAATAATTCAACAGTATATGGAGCAGTACGGACTTTGTGACAGCTGGAGAATGAGGAACCCGACAAACTCAGGGTATACCTACTATTCTCCTCATCATAAATCATCTTCAAGACTGTACTTCTTCCTCATAAGCAACTCGCTCACTCAACACACCACAGAAAAGTCAATACATGCTATAGTAATTAGCCACCACTCCCCTGTCCCACTAACAATCTCTACACAGACAAAAACTAACAAATACTCAAGATGGCGTCTTAACACGTCTCTCCCGGAGAACACAGAGTTCACAGCACTGATACAGAGAGAGTGGGCATACTTTCTTGGGACGAACGACTCTCTTGAAATCTCACCATCACTGCTTTGGGAGACCGGAAAAACAGTCCTTGGAATAATCATCTCTTACTCATCATACAAAAAAAGAAAAAGCAATAATTCCCTCAGTTCCTTCAGATCTGGAATCATAACTCATGACCCTAAAGAAATAAATAAAACCTTCCAACAATACTTCACTGATATATATTCATCAGATTGCACACCTAACAGCACAGCAACCAACCCTTCCTCAGCAAACTTAACCCTCCAACTCTATCAGACGATCAAATCCAAATGCTGGACGCACCACTTACACTTAATGAAATATATAAATATCTAACAAAAATGCCAAATAACAAATCACCGGGACCAGACGGACTACCAGCAGAATTTTATTAACACTTTTGGGATATACTTTCTCCACTACTAATCAGAGTAATAACCGAGATAAAAACAACTTCATCAATACCACCATATATGAACACAGCAATCATTACACTCATACCCAAACTTAAAGATTTATCTCAACCCTCAAACTATCGCCCTCTTTCATTAATCAACACTGACGTAAAAATTATTACCAAAACACTTGCACCGCGGCTCGAAACAGTTACTCATTCACTCGTCCATCCAGACCAAACAGGCTTCATAAAGAATACACACTCATCAGACAATCTTCGTAAACTATTCAACTTAATCACAATAGCACAAGGTAATAAGGCAAAATCAATCATCCTATCGTTAGACGCAGAGAAAGCATTCGACAAAGTTAACTGGCAATTCCTCTTCCACACACGACACGCTTTGGAGAGTCGTTCGTCCACTGGATACAAACTCTGTATAACTCACCGAGGGCTACAATAATCACAAACGGGATCACGTCACCCAGCTTCACTCTTCACCAGGGAACTAGACAGGGATGCCCGCTCTCTCCGTTACTATTGGCATTATTTATTGAACCACTGACAGCTGCTATAAGAACAAACAATAACATCACAGGAACTCAAAGCGGAACTGAAGAAAACAAACTTAGTCTATATGCTGATGACCTACTATTACATCTACAAAATCCTCAAATCTCTCTGCAAGAAACATTCTCCACTAGAAATGAATTCTCCCAGCATTCCAATGATACAATCAACTGGTCAAAATCCACACTACTCCCACTAACTAAAGACTCATGGAACTCTGCAGCCCAAGACCTCTGTCCTTTCATTAACCTGGGTAACATCAAATATCTGGGAATTGATATTTCCGCCAGGCTGTCAGAACTCTTCAATCTTAATTATACCCCATTACTTAAAAATATTAAAGACGATCTCAACCGCTGGAAACATTTGCCACTATCAAAGTCGAATTGCCGCAGTCAAAATGAAGATATGACCTAAAATACCTCTATTCAATGATCCCCACCACCCCAACAGAAAACTGGTTTAAATCGCTCAACCGTTCAATCACGCAGTTTTACTGGAAAAACAAACCGCCCCGAATCGCTCTATCCACATTACAAAACAATAAACAACAAGGTGGTCTCGAAGCCCCACATTTTCTCTACTACTTTTTAGCCACACAACTCCAGTACATTTACATATGGATTAAAAATCAGCAACACAACAAACCCTGGACAGTCTTAGAACAGAACCAACGTAAAGATACACCAATAGTCGACCTTGCATTCCTACCACAATCTATCAAAAAGCTACAATATTTCAAGTCAATCACCATCTCCACGACTCTGACAGCCTGGTAGAAAACTTTAAAATCACAGACTCCTCATTCTCTTCTTGTAGATACACCCCGTTATGGCACAATCCTGATTTACAACAATATAATTCACCTATTTATTTACCCCGCTGGCAGCAAAATGGTATCACTCACTTACATCATCTCCTTTGACACATTAACCAGAAAGTACGGGGCTGGGAGAGAAGATTTTTTACATTACCAACATTTAATTTGATTTAATAAAATCCAAAACTAATATTAACCATTCAACCGTCGCGCCTAATACTCAAAAATAATTTGGACAAAGTTGGTTGGATCTGACTGCTACCACTGTCGCCACATCAAACTTATATAACCCACCAAATATGACATGTTTTTTTGTGATACTGTTCCTTTAAATGTTTGCTAAAAGGAGCGTTTCTGCATCTGTCCTTTAGAGTAAGTAAGTAAGTAATCTTTATTTATATACCGCCTTTTCACTGCACATTGGAGTCTCAAAGCGGTTTACAATTGTGATTTTTGGGAGTGGGGGTGCCAGTACAGGAGGCGCATGCCAGACCTATTGTACATATTTTTAGTGGTAGGGGAAACCGGAGGAAACCTACGCAGACACGGGGAGAACATGCAAACTCCACTCAGAAAGGCCCTGGTCCAACCGGGATTCGAACCCAGGACCTTCTTGCTGAGAGGCGAGAGTGCTATCCACTCAGCCACCGTGCCGCGTTTAGAGGGCGCTATTGTTTTTACTGTGAATGCTCCGCCATCTTGAGAAACGTTGGACATCATATGTAAGAAAAACTGATGTACAAAAGTGTTTAAAATACTTCTGAAATGTGTGATGAACAACTTGTTTTGGGTTCTTTAGAGTTGATAATAAGAGGTTCTGGAGACGAGGATTATTTTGAGTTTGTGTGTTCTTGATCTCTGGTGAGTCTGTTGCTAGGCTAAGCTAGTTTATGCTAAGCTAGTTTATGCTAAGCTAGTTCATGACACAGCATTTTCTTTTGACATGATATCGTGATTATTTCTTTAAAAACAAATAAGGGAATATGATTTACAAATAAGGGAATATGATTTACAGAAACATGATTATAAGGTTTTACATTGTAATGTAAAACCTTCTTATAATCATGTTTCTGTAAATATGATTTACAGAAACTTTTATGGTATGTTAATGTTACATTTGCACACTGTGCACAGTGCCTTGCGAAAGTATTCGCCCCCCTTGAACCTTTCAACATTTCGCCACATTTCAGGCTTCAAAAATAAAGATATAAAAATATTTTTTTTTGTCAAGAATCAACAACAAGTGGGACACAATCGTGAAGTGGAACGAAATGTATTGGATAATTTAAACTTTTTTAACAAATGAAAAACTGAAAAAGTGGGGCGTGCAATATTATTCGGCCCCCTTGCGGTAATACTTTGTAGCGCCACCTTTTGCTGCAATTACAGCTGCAAGTCGCTTGGGGTATGTCTCTATCAGTTTTGCACATCGAGAGACTGGAATTCTTGCCCATTATTCCTTGCAAAACAGCTCGAGCTCAGTGAGGTTGGATGGAGAGCGTTTGTGAACAGCAGTATTCAGCTCTTTCCACAGATTCTCGATTGGATTCAGGTCTGGACTTTGACTTGGCCATTCTAACACCTGGATACGTCTATTTGTGAACCATTCCATTGTAGATTTGGCTTTATGTTTTGGATCATTGTCCTGTTGGAAGATAAATCTCCGTCCCAGTCTCAGGTCTTTTGCAGACTCCAACAGGTTTTCTTCCAGAATGGTCCTGTATTTGGCTCCATCCATCTTCCCATCAATTTTAGCCATCTTCCCTGTCCCTGCTGAAGAAAAGCAGGCCCAAAGCATGATGCTGCCACCACCATGTTTGACAGTGGGGATGGTATGTTCAGGGTGATGAGCTGTGTTGCTTTTACGACAAACATATCGTTTTGCATTGTGGCCAAAAAGTTCGATTTTGGTTTCATCTGACCAGAGCACCTTCTTCCACATGTTTGGTGTGTCTCCCAGGTGGCTTGTGGCAAACTTTAAACAAGACTTTTTATGGATATCTTTGAGAAATGGCTTTCTTCTTGCCACTCTTCCATAAAGGCCAGATTTGTGCAGTGCACGACTGATTGTTGTCCTATGGACAGACTCTCCCACCACAGCTGTAGTTATCTGCAGTTCATCCAGAGTGATCATGGGCCTCTTGGCTGCATCTCTGATCAGTCTTATCCTTGTTTGAGATGAAAGTTTGGAGGGACGGCCGGGTCTTGGTAGATTTGCAGTGGTCTGATACTCCTTCCATTTCAATAAAATTGCTTGCACAGCGACAATTTTAGGGGCGACAGTAGCTCAGTTGGTAGAGCATTGGCCTTAAGGCCAGAAGGTCGTTCAATTCCCACCTCTACACCTTCTCCACCGACTCCCACTGATGACTGCTGTCGTTGTGTCCTTGGGCAAGACACTTAACCCCACTTTGCCCAAAGCCCCCACTGAAAGATCAAGGCTATGCTCACACTCAGAGAGCAGCTGTCCTCCTGTGGACTCACCACCTGCAGAGGGTCAGTGAGGGGCTGGTGCTATGAGACTTGGGTGGCATCTCTGATTGCCACCCCCCTGACCCAGAAATGGATTAAAGGGTAAAAAATGGATGGATGGATGCTTGCACGGTGCTCCTTGAGATGTTTAAAGCTTGGGAAATCTTTTTGTATCCAAATCCGGCTTTAAACTTCTCCACAACAGTATCTCGGACCTGCCTGGTGTGTTCCTTTGTCTTCATGGTTCTCTCTGAGCTTTAAACAGAACCCTGAGACTATCAAAGAGCAGGTGCATTTATACGGAGACTTGATTACACACAGGTGCATTCTATTTATCATCATTAGTCATTTAGGACAACATTGGATCATTCAAAGATCCTCACTGAACTTCTGGAGTGAGTTTGCTGCACTGAAAGTAAAGGGGACAACATGTATTGGCTAATACGTTATTGAAGAAAGGTGTTTAAAAGGACAAATGACGTCCACTGGACTCATCACATGACATAACAGGACCACATGTATTGGCTAATACGTTATTGAAGAAAGGTGTTTAAAAGGACTAAAGACGTCCACTGGACTCGTCACATGACATTACAGGAGCACATGTACAGTAGGTCCCATTTCGTTTTGTCGCCTTTCACGCGTGAATTGCACGAGGCTCACGCGCGAATCACGTGTCTTTTCTTTTTTCCCCCCCCAGTGACGCTGCAATGACCAAAACAACCACCAGGTGGCACTTGTGAGCAGGGTTACATTGGCGTCTCATCGCTCTTTCTTC